AGGGGTAGTGATTCTATTCCGAGGTTTACTCCAAGTCACTGTGGATGATGCAGGCCAATCTTTTTTTTTAGATAAAAAATTATTTGGAGGTCAATCTATTCAAAAAAAGTTAGTTTGACAAATACTAGTAACTAGATAAATAAAGGAGTAAAAATGTAAGAATGCTATAATGGTACAGTAAATATGTAGCAGATGTTTAAGCTAGAAAAATGAAAAAACATCAAAATGGCTAAACATTTGCCCCAATATAATACCAATAAGGTAAGATTGAGTATGAAATTCTCCACAAGTTAGAACCATGGAGAAGCATGAGTTCACAAGTTTTAGGCCCTGCAGAATGAAAAGAGGAGATGCAGAAGTATTAAGCACTAATAGTGAAGATAAGTGACAACCCATGGTCCTAGAGTTTATTGTACAACATCTAACCATAAAACCTGAGAAAATGAAGCATGTGAAACTGAAGATGATATCATCTCTAGATTTAGAATAAGTTGGACAGCGTGAAGAAGTTCAATAACATTCTTTTACTATAATAAAATAATCAGCAAGCTGGAATCCTACAAACAACTATTGCAAGATTGGACAGAGTGACAAAATAATAGCATATTGCATTAGTATTGGAACTTAGGAAGCAATATATTTGATAGAGATTTGCTAACAAAGTGAGGATGGGAAGATGGTGTAGATAAGATGACCAAGCATAAACAAAATGGGTCACTCATAAAATAAATTAAAAAATATCGATAGACGTTAAATTTCGTAAAGGATATCTTACTCAGTCTAGCCATGTCCAAATATAAGCTTATGGAGACACAAGTTCGAATAATGATTTTATCCAAGTTTAAGATGTGGCGAACGAAGGCAGATGCAAGTTAAGTAGGAAATATTTTGGTCGCCAAAAATCTCAACTAAGAAAAGATAGACCAACCAAACTCAAAAAAATCATCTATACTAATGTATACAGTTAATTTCACTTAGCTTCATGAGTTGGTTGTCCATTCCATTCTTTATCATCAGTTCAAAGGTGTCAGATCCCTCATTTCATCCATCCGGGATATTTTTCATTTTTTGGGTTCAATAATGAGTCAAAATTTCGAACACAAAATAATAACTTCAGAAAATCTCCGAAAATAATGATTTCGACTAGAAATGGATGTGCCAAAGAAGTACAAAATACATAATGAGTATTAGCTCATATTAAGAGATATATTAGTGCTCATGAATATAGAATAATATCTTTTGGCCTTGGGCATTTTAGTTAATTAATTTTCTGGTTCTCATTAATTCACTATGTTACGAGGAAAAAACGGCTACAAAATTGAGTCTTTCCTAGTGCAAATCACGATATGTGTCACGTATGTAGGCACATTGCTATACCACCCTTAAAATTTCTCCACTCTTTCTCTCTTTTCTTTTTCTTCTACCTTAATTGTGTTCGTTGCATGGATATGCTCACAGCAGTACACGATAACGTTCCGGAGAAAATTCTGAAATCTCAACTAGCATATCTACTTCCAAATTAGACTCCTTCCAAGCATTTTCCATTTCTACATATGGTCAATTTAATTCATAGCTACTAGCAAACTAGTTATACTTTTAAATGAAAGCATTCTACATTTCTATAAAATGCACCATCAATAAATTAAGCTAAATGTTCAAAAAAATTTAAAGCAAAAAGAAGATAACAATGATAGTCAGATGTTCAAAGAATTTTAAAGGTAACAGCCCCAGTGAAAGATGTACCAGCTTCGGTGGATGACTCGCCATTCTGTAATCGAGACCCAGCCTGCACATTGGGACTCTGCTCTCTGGACAGCCAACTGCCAGTGGACATAGTATCTGCGTTACTGCCGTTATCGGCCCAGGCCACACTTCCAGCATTCCCCTGGAACCCCGTTTTATTATTCCCACCTTCCTTCTTCCTCCCGCTACTCCCTGACACCGACTTGGCAGAACCCGAAGCTGACCCTGAACCTCCATCCCCAGCCCCAAGCCTCGATAAATTACTAGCTCCGAGCACTGCCGCCGGGCCCTTCTCTCCCCTGAAACTGAAAAAACTCTCCTGTGGCAACGGCCCTGATCGCGTCTTTATCCGGTTCAATCCCAAAGATGATGCCAGAATGGGAGACACCGAGGCAGGTCCTTCTTTACTTTCGGTCGCCGCCGGCTTCTTAACCTGAGAAGCGCAGAACTTCGGTTTACTCGGGAGAAGAGGTTCAGCCACATCTTTTCCCTTTGACACGGCTTCCTTCTTCTTCCCCGCATCTTTCACTTGCGTATGCTTCCGCGCTACCCCACTAAAACTACTGGTGGAGGTTGTAGTTGAGATCTGAGATTCTTCTTTGGAGTTGGATTTGGGCTTCTTCTTATCGGATCGGATCGGGGAATTGGAGCCGATGGATCGAGGACTGTTGGATCCGTCGGGGCTGGAGGAGTCTGATTTCTTCGAGGAGAAGAAGAGTTTGTTCTTGAAAACCATTTTCGTCTCTTCTTTTCTCTAGGGTTGTCGAAAGTCGATTACGATGCAGCCCAATCATAGATACCGAGAAGCTATCAGTAACATTTGTCTGCCACGCTCCAATCCTAGAGAGAGAGAGAGAGATGCTTAGGTCCGATATAGAGAGAGAAAGAGAGAGAGAGTAGCTTGAAGATTTGGACCGACCAAGAAAAGCAGAGAAATGAAAGAGAAAGTGAGAGAGAAACGGGGTTGAAGGAAACAGGAAAGGAAGAGAATGTGAGTGAAGTAGAAGCGTGGATATAGCAAAAAGGAGAGCTGCCGTGTTGCCCGACTCCTTGATACGACGCCGTGTCAACAATATTATACTACATTAAATCAAATTATTTTTTTCTTTTTAAAAAATAAAACCAATAATTAAAAATTTAAATTTCAAGTATTATTTATTGTTCCTTTTAAAATACTTTTAAATAACAAAAATACAAATAAAATGGATTTCGAAATTTAAAAAAAAAAAAAAACCAAACTTAGTTGAAAAGGTTTGAGATTTTGGTAAATTAATTTTACAAAGAAAATAAATTTACGTTTTTACACGTAAAATCAATTATATTTAATTACTTATAATGCATATTTAAATAAAAAATAAATTAATTTAATGTTAATTATTAAATTAAAAATAAATTAAATACTATTTAAAATTATATATGATATAATTGAATATATATTCAAAGAATATTTACTTTTAAAGAAATAAATAATTGTATATAATAGATCTTTTTATTACAAAATTTTCAAATATGATAATGTGAATCACAACTATTAAGTGTTAAATTTATTTAAAAATTAATTAATAAACTATTTTATTTGTCTATAAAATAAAATAAAATATTTTCGCATCAATAAGTAAATTCACACATATATATATATATATATATATATGATTGTGGCAACCTCTCATTTAATGATTGGATTTCTTTCCTCTTATGGTTTGATTTCTTTTCCTCTCATGGTTCACTCAAATAATGTATGCAAACTTTTAATCAACCAATAATTTTAAGTTATTACGTAATGCTTTATTGATTTGTCTTTTTTTTCTCAAAAAAAGACAAAAAATTCAAATTATTTTTAAAATTTTATTATTTAATAATATATTCATTAAACTAAAAGTATATATTTATTG